TGTTGGCTTTGCTTTTTTTTTTTTTTTTTTGAGGAACTGAATCCTTCCCTAAATTTAATAATGATAATTTAATATAATGGATTTTTCATGATAAACATCAGATACTAAACTAATAACTGATTTAGTGAAGAAACCAAATGCATTATCCCAATTTGACTTTAATCATAAAGTTTATTTACTAGATTTTGTTTGCAAAAGTCTTATACAAAAATAAATAAATGTAAAATAAGGCCCAATGAAGATTATAGAGCTAATGAAGTATTTTTCCTTGCATAACTAATATTTTCTTACATGACAGAACCAAAATAATCCAAAATAGTAACAAAAAATACTTCAATGTATAAATCCTTCACAAGATAAACTTTCTCTGCTAAGAGTTTCCTTGAAATTTCTTTGAATTTCAAAGTTCAGGAAACATTTTTTTTTTTCCTAAAGACAACTTTGAGTGGCACATCTTATCCCTTGGTGAAGTGAGAGAATTGTCCTTTTACTTCTTCCTGTCCTAGATCATGGTCTGTTCTGACAATATAAATGTCAGTCCTGCTCTGTTCCCTTGAACACAGGGAAAAATAAAATGCAACATTCTTGTTGCTCTTAGTGATTAGGGGAAAGTCAGCAGACAGATACTATGGTCACATAATCTTCATGTCAGTGTGTCACCTTGGTAATGATCTTTTTCAATTAAGAGAATATCAGTAAGTTCTTATTAATACAACGTTTAACTATATGTATCTACATACAGTGTTTCATTCTTTCCTCCTTCACTCCTTTCTTATTTCCTGTCCCCCATTCCTTCCCTCCCTTTCTCCTTCCCTCCATCCTTCCATTACTTCCCTGCCTCCCTGTCTTCTGTGACTCTTGATTTACTTAAAACTTTTGTCTCTTAGTTTTAAAATGGTTATAATAATCCCTACATCATAGCATCATTTTGAATGTTATTTGTGTATTACACATATGCACATACTTGTGGATGTGAGGAGTGCAAGTGCCCAAATACTATAACTTGCAAAAAAAAAAAAAAAAAAAAGAGAGAGACTTTATATTTTATATAAAACAAAACCCTCTACATTTCAACCTATTTCTACCTGATTCTGCCCTCTTTCCACTTCTTTCTTCAGAGTACCAACAGAGTTTCATATCAGGTTGAGATATCAAGTTTTTAACATTAGTCCATACTGGCATTGGTGCTTTGTCTCCATCTGATCTCTGACCATTTTGTTCAGTGATGCATCACTTTACTTAGACATTCTATATATACAGGTTCTCATCCTCCCCCTGCTTTTTCCTCCCTCCATCCTTTCACCTCTCCTTCCCCCCCACACACACTTCCCTTTCTCTCCTTTCATTTTTTCTTTCCTCTACAACCTCACCT